ATGCCCTGTGTCAGGAAACCATGCCAGGCCGTATCCAGGGAACAGCGGCGAAAGGGGGCGCTGCAGGGCCCAGTCCCTGGAGGAACAGAGGTGCCCCACGGAGGAAGCCCAGGGTGGCCACTCTCGGAGCCCCAGGCTGGGCTGGAGGGCAGCAGCCTCCCGGGAATGCTGTCGTGAAGAATTCCAAGCAACAGAGAACATGGGCAAAGATGCTCAAAGACCCGAGAGAGTGGGCAGAGAAAAATCGTATGTCTGCTTTCAACAAGCACAAAGAAAGTCGATCAGGAAAGCCTGGAGCCAGGTGACATAGCGAGACCCTGTCTCTACAAAAAAATAAAGATAATAATTTGGGATGCTTAATCAGCTACTTTGCCAACATTGTAATGAAATTGGCATCTACTTTTCACAGGAGAAAGAGAAATGGAAGAGACTACCTGAACTATGCCTAGCAGATTGTTAGTTCTCTTTCAATTGCCTAGGGGCCTGCCTGTCCACTTGCGAATTCTCTCAGGCCTTCAGATCAACATTTTTCTCTCTGCTCTTCTCTTTTTCTCTCTATTTGTCTGCCTCTTCTCTGTCCGCATGCGTCTGGAAGGGAGAGACCAAGTTCAGCCCAAACGTGTCCCTTTTGCTACTTGTCTGGAAGGGACGAGACCAGGGTTGTTCACTGAGGTAAAGGCAAAACTGCCGGGAGCATCCGACTGCTGGGGCTTCGGCTTCCCAGATCTGTCTGCCCTCTTGTGACTCAGACCTCTGCGTGCAGAGTCGTCATGAAGAGCACGGCTCCAGGGTGAGAGCTGTGTGGCGGGCAGATTCCTTAGCCTCTGAGCCTTGGTTTCCTCACCCATAAAATGGGAATAATAATAGGATCTCCCTCAGAGCGTTGTGTAGAGGTGAGATTTAGTTGATCTAATGCATATAAAATACTAAGCAGTGTTTCTCATGCAGCGGATTCTTCGGAAATATCTCTTGTGGTGGTTATGATTTCTCATGGGCGAAGAATGGGCTGGCCTAGTGTCTGGTGGTAAAAGCCTCTTATGCATATTATGGGGCAAGTTCTGATGCGGATTTTTCAGGTCAGCCTGGGCCTCAAGAGTGTCGGCCCAGTGGGACGGCCACGTCCCAGAGAGAGTCGTCGAGGGGCTGGTAAGCCTCGCCCCAGAAGTGTCGACGCTAATGGGCAGGCAAGCCCAGCCCTGAGAGTGTTGCTGCTTCAGTGGGCTGGCAGACACAGCCCTCTGGCGTCTCAGCTTCCGAGTCTCGCCTTCCTCTGGCAGCTCTCCTGGCTCAGCTGGCTCCACTGGCTGGCGGATCAGCCTCTGGGGTGCACGGCGCTTTGATTCCAATGATCTTCTGCAGCTCTTCGGGTTGGGGGTTCTCGTCTCGTGCCCAGGAAGAATGAGGGACACGGACAGCCGGAAAGCGAGAAAGCAGAATTTATTGAGAGGACAGAGACGATCCCACAGTGGGAGGGGACCCGCTGGGGCCCAAACTCTGGTGCTTCTGTAGCCTTAAGTCCAAGCTGATTGGCTAGCACTAGCTGTGAGCTGTAGCTGTTCGGATTGGTCTGTGTTAAGGACCCACCGGCAGGAGGTAGGGGCCTCATGATGAGCAGATTGGTTGCCTTTTGATCCTAGCAGTGAGTACCTCAGCTCTAGGTTGAGAGACTCACAGGGAGCTTGTTTAAGACAATGAGCAGCGGCTGGAATTTGCTACATTGTTGCGGGAAGACGGGCCTGTCTGTCTACCTAGCCTTTCTCTAGCTCTCTCGTGTCTCAGTTTCAAGTGACAATGCTATAGAACTTCCTATTGAAAAGTTAGAGCTGGCTCGGTGGCTCAGCCTGTAATCCCACGCCTTTGGGAAGCTGAGGTGAGTGGACTGCCTGAGCCCACGGGTTCGAGACCCGCCTGAGCAGCGTAGACTTCATCTCCACAATAAATCAAAATGAGCTGGGCGTGGTAGCGCGCACCTGTAGTTCCAGCTACTCAGAAGGCTGAGGCAGAAGGATCGCTGGAGCCCAGCAGGTCGAGGCTGCGGTGGCCGGGAGCGGCCACTGCACTCTGGGTAAAAAAAAAGTTAGGCGGCCAGAAAAAGCTTAACAACAAAAGCATGATGATTTATGGAGCCTATATCAGGTGCCAGATACCATACGAGGCCCTTTACATAAATGTTTGCTAACCCTTATACCTGCCTGTAAGAAAAGGAGTATCATTTCCACTGACCCACAGCGAGAGGGCGGTTCGGTGGCGTGATGTGCCCAAGAGCACTGCAAGGGCCAGTGGAGCTGAGGTCCGGCCTGGGGCGCCGCGTGCCTTTCCTTTCGCCCAAGCAGGTGCAGCACGGGAGAGGACCGTGGGGGTGGGGGAGGGCGGGTGGCCACCACCCCTGAGCCCAGCCGGGGAGTCAAGAGCGGAAGGTGGCCCTGGAGGTCTTAGGCTGGGCACACGCCCTGTCTGTGCTGAACACGCTCGCTCTCCGACTCTCCGAGAGCTTGTGCAGGACGTGCCTGTGAGCACTTGCCTGTGAGGTCCCTAGCAGCGGGCCATGTGGCCGAGGCGGCCCACAGGCAGGCAGGGAGTGGCCTTGGCGATGAGCACGCCGCACGAGCCCGCTTCTGAGTCCTGACAGCCTGGACGTTGTATCAGACAGGTGTGCCCTTGGGTTAACGCGCCATCCTGGATGGGTGATGCACTCGTGAGTGAGAGATCAAAGTGGTGTGAAAAGGTGCACCAAAAGGATCCCTCCCGCTCTGTTCCTGTCCGCCCCTTCCCCGTGAAGATAACCACTTCCTGGTGTTTCTTTGTTCAGATTCAAGCAAATACGAAGATCGCCTCCTTATTACATAGCAGCATCTGGCTTTATTCACTTAGTATATTCTGAAGATCCATTTATGTCAGGGCATAAGGAACTCTTTCATACTTTTTAATAGATAAGGAGTACATTTCCATAGTCAATAGTTAATTTGGTCGGGTGTGGTGGCTCACACCTGGAATCCCGGCACTTTGGGAGGTAGAGACAAGAGGATGGTCTGAGCCCATGGGTTCAAGACCAACCTGGGCAACTTGGCGAGACCTCGTTTCTACAATAAATAAAAAAACTGAGCCAGGCGCAGTGGCACACGCCTGTGGCTCCAGCTGAGGTGGAAGGATCGCCTGGGCCCAGCAGGTTGAGGCTGCAGTGGCTGTGATTGTGCCACCGCACTCCAGCCAGGGCGACAGAATGTGGCCTAATCAAGGGGAAAACAATTAATTGCATTCATTCCCAGTGGATGGGCTCTTGAGCTGCTTCTCATCTACTGCTGTAGAAGCCATGCAGATGGACAGCTTCATCCTCATGTGTCTTGGAACGCAGCGCACGTGTCATTTTCGCAGGGGCTGCAGGAAGTAGGGAAGTGGACTTCTCTGGGAAAGAGTCAGGGCGCTTCTCAGGTCAACAGACTTTCCCCTGGCTTCTCTCCGTGGCACTTTCTGCCACTTTGCTCCCCGCCCGCGGCTCTTTCCCCAGATCCTCCGTGGAGTGTGCTGCCAAACTCGTGGGGCTTTTTACATTCTGCTTGGTGAAAAATGGCAATTCAGGGTTGCTTTATTTGCTTTTCTCGAAGCTGCATGTTTCAGGCCCTTTTGCATTTCCTTCCCGAGGATGCCTGTTCACGTCTCTCGTTCTTTGGGGTGGTTGGTCTCTTTCTCCTGAATTTCTGGGAGTCTTCAGATAAGTACGTTTAGTCCATGTTTGTGCTGGGAGTTTCAGATCTTTTTCCCAGCCTGTCATTTATTGTATGACTTTGTTTATGGTTTTTGGTATTTTTTTTAATCATGCAATTTTTTTGTTTTTACTTTTATGTAGTCATATTTAATCCATTTTTCTTTCATGGCTCCTGGATTAGCCAAGCTTTTCAAAGAATGCCAGTAAACGGTTATGGAAAATCTGAGGACACGTCAGGGCGCACGTGCCACATAAAACGCCAGCTCTCACCACTGTTGCAGTCATCTCAGCACTGTGTACTCTGGTCACATGCTGGGACAAGCTGGGCTTCCCTGCAGCTGGGAACTGCAGAGACTGCCACTGCGTGGCCCCACCCATGTCTCCAGGACCCCATCTAGCCTGTCCCAGGGTCTCTTCTCCACTAAGTGAGGGTCCCATGTCAAGGCATGGGAAGGAAAGGCTCCCTTCAGACCGTGTTCCTGGAGCAGGTGACCACCAGGGTCAGGTCCCGACTGGCACCTCTGACACGACCCCCAGGCACGCCTCGTGTCACACAGGCCACACTCCCTTCTCTTCTTCGTCGTGATACCAGAGCTCGTCTCCTGGCTTCTCTCAGCGGCCAGTGCAGGCGTCTCTCGGGCTACTCCCCAGCTGCTGATGTGTGCTTGTGTGTGTGTGGCAGCCTTAGCCCATGCTGTGCAGTTCCCCAGCTGTGCCTGTTTTCCTCCTCATAATGCAGTGGTTTTTCTCCAAAGTGAAACTGTTATAAAAAGGAACAGAGATTATCTCACTACCCAGCAGGAAACTGGAGACGGGACCTGTAATGCCGACATGCTCTCCATCCTGTGTAAACCTGATGCAGCTTTCCTGGAGGGTCTCGGTGCCGTCATCCAGTGGGTCCATGTGGGGGGGGACCCTTTGCTCACGCATCTTAAGACACTTCAGGTGGGAAGGTCCCTCCGCACATCCTTCCATCGGCAGCCTTCTTCAGAGATGGTCCTTCGGGGCTTGTTCTGTTTAGCGAGACTTCGTCAGTTTGAATTGGGGCCATGACTTTCCCTTAAAAGATTGCTCTGCCTTGTTTTGGTTTGGGTTTTGTCTGTGAACAAAGAATAAATGTGGTTTCCTCAAATTTTAGGAGGGTTTCCAAGCCATGAAAAAGTGTTGCGTTTTGGCATATTAACAGGGCTTTAGAAACCCAGTGCATCAAGCTTTTCTGAAAATAATAAACATGAAAAGTTAACTTTTCTTTAAATTGTAGGATTATAACTTGCACAATTTTATGTTACTTTTACAGAAAAAGACACTATGGATGTATGGTGCAATGGTAAGAAAATGGAGACAGCAGTAAGTTGACCTTTTGATTTTTCTTGGTGCCTAAGTTACCTCTGAACTGTCGCTGTGTTTCCTAACATAGAGATTTTATCCTTAGCCAAGGTTTCGAACCCCTGGGTTCAGGCAGTCCTCCCGCCTCGGCCTCCCAAAGTGCTGAGATGACAGGCTTGAGCTTTCTGGAAACCTCTCCCAGACAGTGCCTGGAGCAGTGAGAGCGTGGAAAGAACTTGTGTTCTGAGCTGGCACCAGCCTCCCGCCTGCTTTTCCTCCCTGGCCTAGGCTTTGTCCTAAAGCATCACCACATCATGACATTCCTTCCCCAGAGGCCGGCACCCTCCTGTGTTCACCCACATTAAGTGGTGCCCGGTGTGCCCCTGCTTCTTGACCTCACGTGCCTAGAAGTCACTCGGGGTCTTGTGAAAATGCAGACCCTCGTGTTGGCCAGGCGCTGCCCGCACTGCTGGCCCACAGATCACACTCTGGACAGGCAGCTTCACACGGACACCCACAGCGGAGGGTGCCTTTCTGTAAGCGAGACTTTGAGAAAGAAGCGATACACACAATCGCAGATGACATGAAGGTAGACGGACAGGAAGGGGCACTGTCACGAGGCCCAGAAGGCAAGTGGGGTTTGTAGACTAGGAGGGCCAAGGCAGACGGAAAGGGGCCACCCCACTGCCTGGGTCTGTCATGCAGAAAGCCCCACCCGGATGCCAGTGCAGGCGGCCTCTGCTGCCGGTACTTGCAGGGCTGTGGCTGTGGGCGGGATGGACACAGGAGTGAGCCTCGGGCAGAAGTTAAGTAGTAGGGCAGAGAGTGGGAAGCAGGGAGTGTGGGACCAGTGCCGCCGTCTCCAGAGGTCGTTCCCATGTGGCGTGGGGTCTGCTGGCCAGGCAGAAAGCACTCTCCCCCGCGTCTGCCTTTCTTGCTGGCTCCAGACATGAACACCCACACGCGAGAGCACGAGCTCTCTTCTCCGGTCACGTTTTGCATGTTGTGTTGGCTGCCCTTATCTCATTTGCTTGTTGTAGCTATAGGACAGGGAGGAGGGGTGCTTTGGAGGAGAGCAGGCCGGGCTGTATGCATTCAGGAGACTCCCTAGAACCTGCCTGGCCTCGGAGCTGCTTGTTTCTGAGGAAGCGCCCAAGTCAGAAATTAAATGTTACAAAGACGGGCCAGATGCAGTGGCTCCCATCTGTAATCCCAGCGCTTCGGGGGGCTGAGGAGGGATGATGGCTTGTGGCCAGGAGTTCAAGATGAGCCTGGGCAACATTGTGAAACCCCGTTCTACAAAAAAAAAATGGCAAAGATGAAGCAGGGAATGGTGGCACGTGCCAATAGTCCCAGCTGCTCTGGAAGCCAAGGCAGGAAAACTTCCTAAGACTGGGAGTTCGAGGCCAGCTTGGACAACGTAGCGAGACCCCACCTCTAAAAAGCAAATAAACAAATTAATCAAAATAAGTTATAGAGATGAATGCCTTTCTTTTTCTCAGTCCTGGAAAATTTAGCCTAGGCTTACTCAAAATTGATTCTCAGTGCTTGAATTACTTCCTGGGTTAAAGAGACTCGACAGAAGTCACAGAGACGTCTCTTCTGCAGCAAGGCTTGACGAGCTCTTCGGTAGTCGCTGGAATGCCCTTTGGAGCAGCTGCAGCTCCCATGAACACGGACCACTTACCTGCTGTGTGCCCTGTGCTCTCCTTGCCTCCTTCCTGTTCCCTGTTTCCTACCTTGTAATTCTCTGGATCAAGAATCAGCACTTTTGAATCCTGTTTCCTCCCGCCCTCAAGGAAGTCTCCAGTACACACAGAAAGACTGTTGTCTTATGGTGTTAAGAATGTGGTTGCAGGCTGGGCTCCATGGCTCGGCCTGTAATCCCAGCACTTTGGGAGGCTGAGGTGAGTGGACTGCCTGAGCCCGCGGGTTCGAGACCCGCCTGGGCAACTTGGCGAGACCTCATCTCTACAACAAATCAAAAATTAGCTGGCCGTGGTAGCATATGCTTGTAGTTCCAGCTACTTGGAAGGCTGAAAGATCGCCGGAGCCCAGCAGGTCGAGGCTGCGGTGGCCCGGAGCCAATGAGATAAGGGCAGCCAACACAACTGCATTCCAGTCTGGGCGACGGAGTGAAACTCCAACTCAAAAAAAAAAAAAAAAAAGAATGTGGTTGCAGCTAGGTGCAGTGGCACGCACCTGTAGTCCCGGCTACTCAGGAGGTTGAGGTGGAAGGATCTCCTGAGCCCAGGTCGAGGCTGTGGTGAGCCATGATCATGCACTGCACTCCGGCCTAGGTGACAGAGTGAGACCCCAACTCGAAAAAAAAGGTGGTAAGTGAGGCACAAAGAATGTTCATCCCCCATTTTGCCTTTTAGTAACTGACAGCAAACCACGAAGCTTGGAAAGCGGCCCTTCATGACCCAGCTGCCTCCATGTGGCAAGGAAGCCTCGCCTGCAGGGCCGGGCAGGCAGCTCTGTGTGGGCGCCTTCCGCAGCGCCCGGCACGAGCTACGCCCGTGTTCTCCTTTCCCTTTTCCTCTCAAAGCATCGGGAGGGATGATGTCGGTTGCCCGGGATTGCATCTCCCAGCCCTCGCCCAGCCTCCGGGTCTTTCTCCAAGGCGCAGTGTCAGGGAGGGGAGAAGGACACACAGCCAGGGCCAGGCCTGGGCGGGCGTCGGTGCAGCTCCCCTAAGGCGCCATCCGCCAGGCGTCCCTCCCTGTTGCCTGTGCTTGCTTTGCTTGGCAACGCTGACCGTGGGCCCGTCTATGCTCTGGCTGCCAGGGTGAAGCCTGAGTGTGTTTCTTTGCTTCCTGACATCCCGGATTTTTATCCTCTCAGGCTCTTCTTCCTCCTTCTCTGTAATCAATTGGCTCTCATCTTTTTACTCTGCAGTCGCTGCTGTTCAAACAAAATACAGTATGAACCACAGGCATCACCCTCACATGCCATGTTAACTTTCCTAGTAGCCACATTTAAAAAAATTTAAGTGACGTTAATTTCAGAAATGTATTTTGCTTAGGTAAATATGTCAAAAACATCATCATTTAACATGCAACCCATCCGAAAAGTTATAAGTGAGTTATTGTCCATTCTTTTTTTTTTTGAGTTGGAATCTCACTCTGTCGCCCAGGCTGGAGTGCAGTGGCATGCTCACGGCCACCACAGCCTCGACCTGCTGGGCTCAGGCGATCTTTCTGCCTCAGCCTTCCAAGTAGCCGGAACTATAGGAGTTTGCTACCCCACTTGGCTTATTTTTTGATTTATTGTAGAGATGAGGTCTCACCAAGTTGCCTAGGCTGGTCTCGAATCCCCGGGCTCAGGCAGTCCTCTTGCCTTGGCCTCCCAAAGTGCTGGGATTACAGGCAGAGCCACCACGCCTGGCCTAGTTATTACCCATTCTCTGTTTCATCCTAAGTCTTCCAAATCCAGTTTCTGTTTATAAGTAGACAGTCTGTCTCATTTCAGACCGGTCATACTTCAAGTGTTCGGTAACAGCACTTGACATGGCAGTACCTTGGCTACTGCCAGACAGGGCAGGTCTGGGTCTAGTGGCCTCTCCTTTTATGTTCTCTGTGTATTTTGCTGTAAGCCACCTCAAACCCCGAAGAGTCATATCTTCAGTGGTTGAGAGCATGCCAACCCATCTTCGGCAAATAAGTAACCTGCTGTGTTCCTCAATGTCCTTATCCATGGAATGGGGGTAATAGAACGGCATCAGGGTTGTTGTGGGGAGGCAATGAAATAACGTGTATAGACTGTTCTTATATTGTATATAATAAGTGTCGTGTTTGTCATTTCTATTTCTTTGAAAGCACACATTATAGATACCTGGCCATGAGATTTGTTTATTTCCCCTCTGAAGCAAGATCCTCAAGGGCTTGCAGGAGTCCTAGAAAAGAAACTCTCCCTTCATAACGGAAATGTGACAACCGAAGTGGAGCTTTAGACTTTGCGTTGCGAGCTCGAGCCTGCGGCGAGCTTGTCGCTTCGCTCCCCCAGCAACGCTCCCAGGGGCGGTCACGCCCGAGACCGGGCGCGGCGTGTCCCGGACACCAACCCCTTCTCCTCTCGTTGGTCCAGGGCGAGTTCGTGGATGACGGGACGGAGACCCACTTCAGCCTCGGGCCCCACGAGTGCTACATCAAGGCCGTGAGCAGCGGGAGGCGCAGGGAGGGCATCGTCCACAGCCTCGTTGTGGACGGCCAGGAGGTCCCGGCGGCCGCGTGCCAGTGAGCGTCCCGGGGTCGAGATCCGGGCTGGCAATCACTGTGGCAACGAAACGTGCTCCGCGTGGACTCTCAGCACACTTAGTCTGCCAATGGTTTTATTTTTAGTGACCTGAGACGAAGATTCCAGGGGTCAGGGGAAAAAACAACAAACTATGTGCGCTCATCAAAGTTCCGATTTATCATGTAAATAATGTCAGCTGTTTTAAAGCCAAATGGAAAATACGATATGGACCAACATCACTGTTTCGCTACAGTAGCTTTTACTGTAATAAACACTCTAAAATAAATTTGGTGCTGCTTGATTTGTGTTTCTGTGAATGGGTAAGTCTTCGTGCAGTTTTAGCCCCGCAGACAAGCTGTCTCAATGATACCATTAGTTTAACTGAAACCTTTTCTGTCTGGAAATGTATTAAGGAAACGTCGGATAGTGTCACATAAGAGTCTAATTTAAAATGTGGGTTTCTGAAAACAGTTGTTTTGTCGCGCACAAGCGAGGACAAAAATCAAGAGGAGAGAAGCAGACGGGACATCAGAGGGTGCCAGGTGCGTCCTCAGGCTGCGTTCAGCAAGTCAGGCTGCCTCCCTGTCTGGAAGTGGAAGGAGCCCGAGTGTCCTGCCCTGGTGCCTGAACCGGCCCCTCCAGGGTGCTTCCCCAGAGCCACCGGCGCGTGACGCGCTCGAGGGCTGCTTTTCCCCGATGCTGCTTTGAGAGGCTTTCACAGCTGGACAGTCTCACCGCAGAGCCTCATGTGGGGCCTTTCCCATGCACTATCAGGCCATCCTCTGTGTGGGGCAAAGTCTTCATTTTCCAGGCCTGCTCCCTCTAGTTTGGCTAGTCACGGCTATTTAAGGGAGTCGAAATTACATGCGATGCACACCCGCCACATTTCCGGGGCTCGGCAGTCCGTGCGGCCAGTGGCTGCGGTCCTGGACAGGGCAGAATAGAACGTTTCCTTTCTCACCCAGCCTCCTTGTTGGCGCCGCAGACCAGCGTGTCTCGGGTGGAGCGAGGTGCTCAGCGTGGCAGAGGCGGAATGCAAATGCAGGCTTCTCGGACCCTAGGACCGTGCCCTCTATCACTGTCTCCCTGCTAGTAACACACTTCCAAGAATTCTGGAGCAGAACCAGGTTCTAACACTGGAAGAGAGACTGCAGGGCGGAGAGCAGTGAGGACGAGCGCCTCGAAGCCTTGACCGTCCTCCCTCCGGCGTCCTGTCGTTCTGAGGGCTCCACAACCAGCAGGTCAGCATCCTGCCTTTACAGAAACCCCTACAAAGGCTCTACCAGGAAGCTCAGGAGATGAGAGAAGGGCCTCTCGGAGGCACGTGAAATTCCCGTCGGGTTTGGTCTCACCGGCGTGGGCGCCGCGGCCTGCTTTCGTTCCTCTTGAGTCAAGGGCCTCTTTTAATGGCCCTGTTTCACCTGGTGCAAACAACATTTTATGCCATGCCCAAGAGCAAAAAGCAGTTGTTTGTAGGCACCATGTTTTGACCGTAGTTAGCAGAGGCTAAGCCTGGGGCTTGCAGGGGGTCTCTCGTACCTCGGCAGACCCCGGGGTGCAGCATGATTCCATCTTGGTGGAGACCAGACCTCGGACGTGTAGTTTGCCTTTGACTCAAGTTCATACTTTGCTCTCTGTGTTCATCCGAAGCAGCGTGAAGCGGAGAGTCCCGTGTCGGCCGGGGGTCGGGCGTGGCAGGTGAAGTTCTTAGCCTCAGCTTCCTCGTCTTAACACTTGAGGCTGTTATTAGTTCTTATTTTGTTGTCTTGGTTGTTCAGTGACATTCAAAAAGGAAGCAGAAACTAGTATAGCACAGGTGTGTTATTAAACTGGGTGTACTCAGCACGGATGCCCCCGTGCCCTCCCTCGCTCATGTTGTCACGATCGTGATTTTTTTTTTTTTTTAGTGAGAGTTTCTGCTGCCCAGGCTGGAGTGCAGAGGCACGATCATGGCTCACCACAGCCTCAACCTCCTGGGCTCAGGCGATCCTTCTGTCTCAGCCTCCTGTGTAGCTGGGACTCCAGGCATGTACTACTACACCTGGCGAACTTTTTTAGATTTTTTGTGGCGGCGAGGTCTCTCCGTGTTGCTCAGGCTGGTCTTGTACTCTTGGGCTCAAGCGATCCTCCCGCCTCAGCCACACAAAGTGCTGTGATTACAGGCATGAACCACCACCCCCGGCCTCCTATTGTGAATGTGATGTTTATTATTCCCAGGCAAGCCTATATTCTTTTACTGTACAGGTGTACATAGTAAAGACCTAGATTAAGTTTATATTTAAGTTAAAACCTAAGCGATGAACAGTATCATTTTAAAACGTAACTGTTACCGCATTCCGTGCGTCCTTCCTGCAAAGGTTTTTCCCCACTCAGCAATGTGTTTTAGATTTGTCTGGGCTGGCATGTGCAGCTCCAGATCCTTGAACGCTTACATTCAACCGACAAATGCAGCCATCCGCTCCCCTAGGCAGCTTTCAGGTGGTCCTCGACACCATCGGAGCTCCCATGAGCACCCTGGAGCGTGCCCCTCGGACGGACGTTCGGAGTTTCTCTTGGGCCTTGGCACCTGAAGTGTGCCCTGCACCAACAGCAATTAACATCATCGCCTGTGAGCTCTTCAGAAATGAAGAATCTCATGTCCTTCCTCGGGCCTGCTGAACCAAATCTGCGTCTTAATAAGACCCCTGGTGGTGATTTAGAGACACACTGAAGACTGAGAAACACTGCTCTCGATCCACTTGGACATGAGGTAGCTGAATCAAGGGACAAGTGCAGTTTCATAGCATTAGGTGTCTTCCAGGTTGTGTTCCAGGGCAGTTGTGCCACTGTATGCTTTGACCAGCCGTAGGGTTTTCTTTTCCCCACGTCTTCACCGACACTTGAGCTATGGTCAGGCTCTTCAAGGCTTTCCAATCTGAGGGTTTTAAAAATATCTCATTTTAATTGTCTTTGATTTACTGGTAAAGTTGAGTCTCTCATATGCTTATTGGCCATTCAGGCTTCCTTTTCTGAGAATTGCCTTTTCGTTGCTTTGGCTTATGTTTCTGGTGAGTTGTTTGACATTTTCTAACACATTTGTAGTAGTTCTACATATATTCCAGATTGAATCCTTGGACTGTGCCCTTTCTCTTATAAGTAGTCCCAGGCTGGGCTTAGTGGCTCAGCCTGTAATCCCAGCACTTTGGGAGGCCGAGACAAGTGGACTGCCTGAGCTTGCAGGTTTGAGACCAGCCTGGGCAACTTGGTGAGACCTCGTCTCTACAATAAATCAAAAAGTAGTTGGGTGTGGTAGCACGCACCTGCTGTTCAGCTACCTGGAAGGCTGAGGCGGAAGGATCGCCAGAGCCCAGCAGGTCGACGCTGGGGTGGCCGTGAGCAGCCACTGCACTCCAGCCTGGGTGACGGTGTGAGACTCCAACTCAAAAAACAAGTAGTACCAAATGTGCATAACTTCAAGTGTTCCATCATCCCTTCAGGTGACTACACAGAATCTGCATCCTCTAATGAGCTCTGAGGGCAGGGACTGCATATACACCAAAGACAGAAAAATCATTAAAAGCAGGTTGTGAAAAACACACTAAAATATAAGACTAACTTTGCTAGAAATGATGGAAGCAAAACTACAATAGAAAAATACCTTCAAAGTGCTGAAATAATTAACTACCAACCTAATATCTATACTCAGTAAAACTACTGTTTATTTCTGGGTAAACTAAAGTTGAGAGAATGAATCCAGCACAGAACAGCTAGAGGATATATTAAAGAGTGTTCTTTGGTCTAAGAAAAAACAGGATTCAAGATGAAAGCTTTAAAATGCAAGAGAAACCAGGCACAGTGATTCATGCCAGTAATCCCAGCGCTTTAGGAGACAGAGGCTGGAGGATCACTTGAGGCCAGGAGTTCGAGACCAGCCTGCAAAACGTGGAAGACTTTCTCTACAAAAAAAAATGATTTTTAATTAGCCAGACAGTTCATGCCTCTATTCCCGGCTAGTCAGGAGGCCAAGGTGGGAGGATAGCCTGAAACAGGAGGTCAGGGCTACAAGTGAGTCAAGATCACACCATTGTGGTCAGCTTGGACAATAGAGCAAGTCTCAATCAATCAATAAATAAATAAACAACTAAATAAAAGAGAAAAGAAAAGAAAGAAAAAAACAACAACGATGGCCACTGGTAAAAAATGTACATATATTTAGGTGAATAATGACTGTATAAACAATCTCGTATGTGTAAACATTGATATATAATTAAAATACAACAACAATAACACAGATTGAGAGAGAAGTGAACAGATTTAAAGAGTTCTAAGGTTCTTGCATTCTCTGGGGAGATAATAAAATCACCAATTCAACATTAGACCTGGGTAAGTCTAATATGCAAGTTGAAACCTAGTACAGTCAATAAAAGCATGGTATGTAACTTACACATTAATGGGGAAAATTATTTTCAAATTCAATGGAGAATGTAAGGAAAATCACGAGAAAAGGACAGAGGAAGAAAAGTGAGGACAAATGAAACTACAGTCGATCCTCCATATCTGTGAGTTCTGCATGGGGGTTCAACCAATCACAGATTTAAAATATTTTTTAAAAACCCACAACAGTTAAAACTACAATAAACATACACCATAACAACTATTTACATAGTATTTACATTGTGTTAGGGATTGAAAGCAATCTAGAGATGATTTAAAGCATAGGGGAGGATTACATAGATCATATGCATTATTTTATATAAGGGACTTGAGCATCCTTGGACTTTTGTATTTGCAGAGGGTCCTAGAACCAATCTCATAGACACCGAGGGACAACTGTACATAGTAAGATGGCTGACTGATTACCCCCACTATATACTGGCTATTACAGAAAATGTAAATAGACTAAAAGTTTCAGTCGGACAAAGTAGCTCACACCTGTAATCCCAGCACTTTAGGAGGCTGAGGCAGGAGAACTGCTTGAGGTCAGGAGTTTGAGGCCGGCCTGAGCAACAAAGTGAGACCCTGTCCCTACAAAAAATTTAAAAATTAGCCGGGTGTGGTGGTACATGCCTGTAGTCTCAGCTACTCAGGAGGCTGAGGCAGGAGAATCGCTTGAGCCCAGGAGGTTGAGGTTGTGGTGAACTGTGATCGTGCCACTGCCCTCTAGGCTGAGTTACAGAGCGAAACCCTGTCTCAAAAAATAAATAAATAAATAAAGTTTCAACGAACCGGTAAAGGTTATCAAAATAAAAATTTTAAAGTAAACAGGTACATGCTGTTTACAAGAGAAACAGCAATAACAAGGATTCC